GTAAAAGCAAAAATGAAAAGGTTTAATGGGTTTAAGAACACTCTGGAATCTAAATCGACTCACTAAATACAGGTAAAAATTCAATTTAAATTCAAGGTATTAATAACAAAAATTACCTTGATATCTAGTAAATTGGTGAATCTGGTACCCATCATCCAAATTTACAACATGGACATCACTGCTCTTTTCAAAATTATAACCGTGTGTTTGAAGTGGATACGAATGAGTACCAGAAAAACAGACTTAATATCCAATTTCACACACATCAACTCTAAAGGAAATTGGGTCCCTCTGTACCTGCAGATAAAAGGTAATCAGTCTAGGTACCGTGGAACTGTTTGCATGAGCACGATGGTAGTTCTCAGGATGCATCCATGTTGTAGCATGTGTCACAAGTTCCTTCCTTTTTAAGGTTGAATAATATTTTATTATATGTATACACCACATTTTGTTTATCCATTTAACCACTGATGGCCATTCAGGTTGCTTTTGGCTATTGTGAATTATGTTGCTATGAACGCTGGTGTACAAATATCTCTTTGAGATCCTGCTTTCAACTCTTCTGGGTATATATTCAGAAGTGCAATTGCTGGATGATATGGTAATTCTATTTTTAATGTTTTTGAGAAACCACCATACTGTTAAAAATTGCTGATTTTTAAAGGGCTAATTTAGTGATAGTGTTACAAATTTTAGTTTGTGCACCTAAAACTTCATGCTATTTGGATTCCAATCTAGAAAATACTTGATGCATTGAGACAGAGTACGCGATTCAGCCATCATATATGTATGCACCATATTCAGTGAGATAGTGAAGGACTAAGTATGTAGATAGCTTTCTGTATAGAACAGTCTAGTAAGGAAAATCCCATCTGTAAAGTAACTTTTCAAGCAATGATTCAAGGGGAAAACACAACTAAATTTCTTGAATAAGGAATAATCTCACACAATCATTACGTTTCAACATAAGCTGTGTCAGCACAAACTGATGTGCATATCAATCCCTAGTGAAACATTTATTCTGCAATGGATCAAGTGGGAATAAAGCCTCTTACTGCAGAACGAAAGATTCAAATGCATATCAGGCTTTCTTAGCACAGCTAGGACATTAGGAAAAAGGCATTTAAAAATATTTTAGGATTCAAATGCCTAAAATATATGTAAATTATCCTGATGGATACAGAAGGTAACAGACTATAGCAATGTTTTTCTTTCTTTTTTTTTTTTAAAAAAGGTAATTATGAACCATTCCAAGTATATCAAAAGTATGAAAATTATCACACACCCATGTCCGTACCACCTGGACTTAGAAATGTAATATTACAGACATAGTTGAAGACTTTGTCTTCCTCTCCCAATTAATTTGTTGTTTAAACTTCCATGCACACTTCCATCCTTTTATACCACAAATGTGTATAAAAGCATTGTCTTGCATAGGATTACAATTTGTATAAATAATATTATACTGTATACATCCTTCTGTAATTTGTTTCCTGCCTCAATACTGTTTTTGAGATATACTGATAGCAATACATAAAGCTGTAGTTAACTCATTTTAAGTGCTCTATAATATTCCATTAAATGACTATACCAGAAGGTATTTATTCATTCTCCTGTTGATAGATATTTACCAATTCCTTCGGGGGAGGGGTTATTACAAACCACCTTAGCATAAATATTCTTAACTACATCTCCTACATGCCAGAGACTCCTTTTACAGTACACACCTAGAAATAGAATTGCTAAGTCTTGGTAATATGCTCATTTGATATTAGATATTGCCAAATTGATCTTTAAAAGGTTGTGCCAATATATTCTCCCACCAGCAGAGCATAAGTTGCTCACTCTCCACAGCCTTGCCTTTACTATTATAAGGGCTTAATTGTTGACTACCTGATGGGTCTTTCCTTGTTTTGTTTTACTTGTTTCTACAATATAAGCAGCATTGTTTGCAGTGAATGGGGAGTGGCCTAGAAGAAAGAGAAGGAGCGAAAGAAGGGGAAAAGGAGAAGACTCACAAGGATTAGAGTGTAAAACTCTTGTTATAAAGGAATTTCTGATGATAGAAGAAATGGTTCATTAAAATAACTTCCTCACTCCACACAATAGCCACTCATTTCTCCTAAGCCCCTTTTAATGTCAGATTCATTTTGTGTGTCTGCCCCACAGCTCATTGGTCAACAGTATCCAGACTTTTCCTCCCATTTACTGAAAGAACCCAAGTGAAGGTCTGATAATTTCTATTATGCAAAAAATAAATCAGAAAACAACTGTTACAGCATTTTTTTAAGCAAATGTAATATCTTAGCATAGAGTCTCAATTGGCACACAAGAAGTTCTCATGAGAAAGGAAATTGTGAAAATTGTGTTATTACGATGCTAAGGGGAAAAAAAGAATATTATCTCTCAACTTCCCTTTCTTAAAGTACAATGATGACATTTTTGAGAAAAACAATTAAGTATTTCATTCTTACCAAAATAAGATAGTGCTTGTGACTTAAAACAGCTACAAATCTTATTCTAAGTATATGATTTGATTATATTCTAAGTATTCTTTCATATGAAAATGCAGACCTAGATTTTAAGTACTTTTACAGTTCCTGTCGATTATTTTTCAGTTTAAACTTAAACATTTTTTTCTATGATCTCTTCCTGAGAATTTGCTGCCAAATAGAAACTGTTCTCTTCAACAAAGAGCAGTAGATGAAAATAAATCTGATGCAGCTGTACTTTCTAGATGTCCAAAGAATCAATCTAAGTGAAGCTAGACAGATGAAAAAAATAGCATTGTCATTCAGTCTTTGCCCTTTAAAACCCAGGAGGTGCTCATTTTTATTTTATTTGGCAAATCCACACATATTATTTATAAGTATCTCTTGTTCTGCCTTATTTTTCAGCAGTTTTCCTTTCTGTTGGTAGATAGCAGGGATAACAATTACACCTATAACTAACTGCAACAGAAATAAATTACAGAGAGAAAGAGAGAGAGAGACTTTTCTCCGAAGCAGAATTTCTAGAGCTCAGAGGAAATTGTTCAACTGAAAAATGTACTTTCTACCCCAAAGACCTTTGTCTTCTGCAACCAGACACCTATTTGGGCAAGAAACAAGCTAAATAAGAAATAGCAAAAGCTTAAGTTAATGGGAGGAGGTAGAGAAAAGGATGGATGGATGTTGCATGAAACAACTCAGGAGGCATAGTTGATGGGGTTTTCCAAATAAACATGCTAAGCAGGAATGCATGATATCCTTCTAACTAGAGGTAATAGCAATAAAGTTGAGTGGTTAAGGGGATGGGCTTTGAAATCAGACACACCTGGCCCCAGATTTTACTAGCTATATCACATAGGGCATATGGTTAGATTTGTTTGAGCTTCAGTTTGCAAGTCTATAAAATGGTGATAGACTGTATAACTCACGGGGATGTTTTAAGAATTAAAAGTGAAAATGTATGCAGGTAAGTGTCCAATAACAAGCAGCTATTATGTATAAGATAAATGAGTATATTTGAGAAAGACTAGCCTTTTTTAAAGGACTATTTTATTCAAATACCAGTAACACTTCTATACGAAAGCTGGCTGAAAGCAATTAAATAAATCAGTTTAGTTGTCTCATACAAAGTTCTGATAAGATTAGCTTTATCTCTTTCTTTCAGATGTAACTTCAATTCATTAAAAAAAACCAAAAAACTTCCCTAGGAAAGAATGGCCATAAAATTAAATTGCCAGATATCAGTAGGGCAAAAACAAAAACAGAATGGAAAATGTCCAACATAACATTGCCTGCTTAAAATAAACAATACAAAGAAAATAAAATAATAGAAAATAATAAAATAATCTCACTCCTTTATTAACTGCTAATATACATTGTAAACAGTAGCAAATCAAAATGTTTCAGAATATACCATCACAAAACTTTATGATGCATTAATTAAAGGGGTAAATCTGGGGTAAAATTAACTTGGTGGTTCTTAAAAGAATTGCTCCAGGTAAAAAGAGATTTAGACAGAGGTAGATCTCATAGGACTATTTCAGAATATTCTGGAAAGGGGTAGCCTATCAACACCCAGCACAATGCATGGCAGGTAGTAAATGTATTTGCTAAATGCAACTTCAGGTTTTTCAGAGAAAGCCATACAAGCTTTAGATACTTATATAAAAGCAAACACTTTTTTTTTTCCCCTACGCACAGGTTTGTGGTTAGGGATCTTCATGTAATAATTACAGAGCGATTACAAATATGGCTCTGGGTTTTAGGGCTCCATGTCCCAAGGCTGGCTTTGATCGGGGAACTGGAAGATAGAGATGAGAAAAAGCACACAGAGCTGGCTGGAGTTTGTAATAGGAAATGAGTATCAGGCTCAGTATGAGTTTCACTGAACTGTGAGAGGCTTTTCAAAGAATCACACAATGTAAAAATCACTTGCCTTGCAAAAGCATTCTAGGCAATCTTTTTGGAAGGAGGAAATAGCCTCTTATCATTAAGTTCCGATAATAGAATGATATAGGACACACTGAATTTTGTAGACAAATACATAGAGTTTTTATTCCCCCCTTTTCATCTTAATTGAAATCATACCCCCATGAAAAAGGATGGAGAGTTTTTGGTGATACTCAGAGTATTTCTACCTAGAGTACTTTCAGCAGAAAGCATAGTATTTCTAGCTGGAGACATGTGTGCTCAACGAAACCTCTGATGGTGACAAACATGAGGCTTGACCAGATCTTATGCAATCTTTCTATGGTGTGTGTAATGATTTCCTAGTAACACAGCCTCCTCAGGTATAACTCTAACTGGAGCTCAGAAACCAACACTAAATTTTTTCCTATCTATGTATCATCAAATTTCTCCACTGAATTCTAGATAAACCTCACAACTTAACTAGTAATTGTTGCATAGTTATCAGGCTGACAAAAACACCCTTTCAAGAACATAAGCTACTTAAAATTTTTTGGATGCCAGGGGTGCCTAAAGTAAATGTTTGGTAAACAACTGAAGTACCTTCAGTGACTGCAGAGAGTTTGAATTAGTGTCACAGTAGAGGATGATGTTGTTGGCCATGCTGAAACTTTCTCTCACTCCAAGGTGGTAAAACAAGGATGGCTGCCGGAAGGCATCACTCATCTCCACCACAGCAATATCTGCAACAGAAAACAAAGTCCCCCAAAAGGTCAGGCCTAAATCATGCCCAGAAAGCACATTTTGGTTTCAATAACTTAGTATTCAAAGAGGAAATGAAGAAATAACAGGGATTTTCCCTCTGAACTTACCACTGAATTTTGAATTTGCAGTTCTACCCGGAAGCGGTTTTATAAAAGCAGCCAAACTGCATTTTTTTAAACAAAAGGGGATCATATAATTACTGGAAATTAAACAGAGTCTGCAATGGTGACCAGTGGGGCTAATCCTCTTAAATTTCAACATTAAAACAAGTTAACTAAGGTTGCAGAAGCAGATCCATGAGAAGCAGCAATAAGTAATAACTGTCAAATTAGATTTAAAAAAGCAAATAGGTAAGATTGTGAATTAATCCAGATCTGTATTTTATAACTTATTAATTACCATCTAGCAAGTCCCTAGCAAGTATAATCAAGAAAAAGAGAAAGCAAAGGTATAGATAATTATGACCAAGGAGAATATAACCACACACAGATATAAATTTTCCAAAGGGATGTCTAACACCAAGGTAGTAGAAACCTAACACCCAAAACTGACAATTATGTCACAATAATGAGGTTCAGATTAGTCTCAAACTCATTTATATATAGACAAAAATATGAAAGAAAAATGAGCAAAATGCACCAAATATTATATAAGAACACTAGATCACTGGTTTAAAATTTATTTAGGGAATGCAAGGATGGCTCAATGAGAAAAAAAAATCATTATCATCTCCACAGATGCTCCAAGTGCTTTGATTAAAATTCAAAATTCATTTCTTTTAAAAATAATTGTAAACTAAAAATATAAGGGTACTTATTTAACATGAAGTTTCCATATATATATATATATATATATATATATATATATATTTCATAGTAATTGCCAAATTTGTACTTATAGGCATTCCCATGAAAATCAGGAAAAAAACGACTGTCATTATTCCCACTACTAGTTGGCTTCCTGAAAAATCTTCATTTATGCAATAAGATTTCACAAACTAAGGAGATACAATTCTATAAAATAAAACACACAATTATCATTACTTGTGGATATTATGGCTGTCAAACAAAAAACCCCTACAGAATCAATTAAATAACTATTATAACTAATAATATAATTTAATAAGGTATCAAGATACAAACTTATAATAAAACCAAGAGCTTCCTTTATAATCTGAATAAGCATTTGGAAAATATATTATAATATATTCCACTCACAATTAAAATGAAAATGTTAATATCCCTCATAACAAATTTAACAGATGATGCTAATTTGTTAAAGATATGTGCAAGACGCAACAGGTGAAAGGTTAATATCTTTATAATCATCTCTTATTGGTCAATTTAAAACAGACAGGCAAACAGGAAACCATAAAAACACACAATAGAAAATTAGGCTACGGACATAGGCAGGCAAATTCACAAAAGTATAACTAAAATGGTAAATAAACATATGAAAAAATATTTTATATCTCAATACTAATAAATGCACATTAAGCCAACTATAAAGTGCCACTTTTTTTATTAAGAAGTGGCCAGAGGTATTTCAAAATGCCCAATGAAGATGCAGAGAAATGACACTTACATGACAAGAGGAAGTGTAAACTTTCTAGGGGCTTATATCTAAGATTGTGGATACTTTTTGACCCAATAATTCCATTCCTAAAAATTTACCCTGAGGCAATGTGACAGAATGACTTGTAAGTATGTCCATTGAAATACATTCTTTACAATAAAAATGGAAAATGCCTAAGTAGCCATCAATAGGAAAATGGTTAGGTCGATGATAGATAGATAGATAGATAGATATTGATAGATAATAGATAGAGCCAAATAATGATATATTATATAACCATTGAAAATTATATTATAGAAGAATATTTAGCAGTGATGGTAAATATAGCTATACATTTTAAGTTAAAAATATTAGAATATATACATTATAGTGTATAACATATACTTTAAAATATAACGAATACATTACTATATATATTCTATGTGTATACACAGACATGAATAAAAAATGTCTGGAAAGTTACACACCAATGTAAACTGTGATAATAGCTGTGTAATGGCATTATGAATTATTTCTTCTTTATGCTGTTTACATGTTTTTTTACAATATCTGTTATGAACATTAATTACTTTTATAATTTAGGAACCCATCAAAATATAAAAAGAGCAACACTGAAAACCAGTGTAACTGAATGTAAAACCAAAGGGCAGCACATAAAAATAATACAAGCTCTTGAGAAGCTGCTTGGTGCAGAGTAAGCCTTATCTAATGAACGTGAAATTACAATTCACATTCTGTGAATAATAAATAAGTCAAATGAAATGGAGGCTAAGAACACAGAAGGTTTAGCGAGGTTATGAAAAAGATAGGTCAAAGGGGCTTCAAAAGATTTTTTTCAAGGCTAAAAATGACTAAAGGGCTCTTTAATACAAATGAAGTTTTCTTTTGGGTCCTCAACATTTCTACATAAAAAAATCAACACATAAAAAAACAATGAGTCATTGCATCACTCCCACAAAGCCCATCTGCCTCCTGCACCCACACTGCTTCCTCCTCCCACTGATGCCAGCCACTCACAGTCAGTCACAGCACTTTAAAATCAAGAGACAGCGTAAAATGGGGCTGAAAGAAACCAAATAAAAAAGTGGCTAATGAAAAATCGACTAGACACATGCAAAGAAAAATACTAGCTAAGTTAAAGTAGTGACAAGGGAGGGAATGAATGGCTATTTGCAGAGAACTGACTCATGGAATTTGATGTTAAAATAAAAACACTGCAGAAGGCTTTTAGATTAAGAGAGAAACGAGACATTTAAAATAATTAGTACAAGCAAAATAAGATACAGTCATTACATCTGAACATTAAGCAGGAACAGGTCCATTTTTGAATGCTGTTTAGATCTGAACATCTAAGCAGAACAAATCCATTTTTGAGTGCTATATAGAACATTAAAATACTTAATTTCAAAATATCAAAATATCACTATACTTTATAAACTCAAAAAAGGATGTGTTCTAATTTATTTGTATTCTTTTTTAAATTTATTTTTTAACTTCCATAGAGTAAAATTCACTCTTCCATCTTCTTTGGTGAAGTGTTAAAAGCTTGTGTACATTTTTAAAGAATTGTTGAGTTTATTTTCTTATTGTTGAGGTTCGTGTGTTCTTTGTATAATAGTTTCTGGGTATTGTTTCCTTTCTCAGCTATGTGATCTGCCAATACTTTCTCTCAGTTTGTGACTTGTGTTTTCATCCTGTTAACAGTGTCTTGAAAAGAACAGGTTTCTAACTTTAATAAAGTCCAATTTATCTTTTTTTTTTCTTTTATGGATTTTGCTTGAGGTGTGGGATCTAAAACAATCACTGTCTAACCCAAGGTCACAAAAGTTTTCTCCTGTGCTTTCTTCTAGAAGTTTTATAGCTTTAACATTTTACCTTAAGGTCTATGATTCATTTTGAGTTAATTTTTGTGAACAGTGTGAGATATGGGTCAAGGTTTCTATTTGTTGTAAAGATTTTCATTTCTTCATTGAATCACCTATGCTTATTTGTCAACCATTAATTGGGTACATTTGGGTGAGTTTATTTTTGTGTTTTCTATTCTGTTCCATTGACCTATGTGTCTACTGTTTTGATGACTGTAGCTTTATGATAGGTACTGAAATAAAGCACTGTTAGTCCTCCAACTCTATTGTTCTATTTTGAAAAAGTTTTAGCTATTTAAGTTGTTCTATTTGCTTTCCTGTATAAATTTTAGAACCAGTTGGTAGCTGAGAGCTATCAGTTGATAGCTACAAAGAAAAGTCTTCCTGGCTTTTGACTGGAATTGTGTTGAATCTTTAGATCATTTTGGGGAGAACTGACATCATAAAAACATTGAGTCTTTCAATCCATGAATATGGCATATTTCTCCATTCATTTATGTATCCTTTCTTCAATCAATATTTAAAGATTTTTAAGGTACAGTTCCTGCACATATTGTGTTAAAATTGTGCCTAAGTGTTTCTTTTTTTTTTGTAGGGGAGGGGGGTACTATTCTACCTACATTCCTAATTTTTAAATTTCACATCTCAATTGTTCAATGCTAGTATATAAAAATACAGTTGATTTTTGTATAGTGACCTTGTATCCTGAGACTTTACTAAACTCACTTATTAGTCCTAGGGGCTTTATTTATTTATTTGTACATGTTTTGAGATTTTCTACAAGGATAACCATGTTATTTGCAACTAGAAATGGTTTTCTTTTTTCCTGTCCAATCTCTATGTCTTGTATGTGTTGTTGTTAGTTATGTTTTGTTTTGCCTTATACTGGCTAGGACTTCCAGTAACAGCATAGTTTAAACTATAACATTTCATTATTAAACTAAAGAAAATATATTCCTGTTGACTACCATCTGACTCTAATGGATAGCTTCTCAAAAGTAGTAAAATAAAAAGGCAAAAATTATCTTCCTTGTGAAATGATCCTATGACATGCTAAAAATGCAAATCATGATATAACAAATTGAACAAATACCTGATACTCCACAATTCTTGAACCTCTTAAATGAGGTACAGTTTATCCACTTTACTTCACAAACATGTATTCAGATAATGCTATGTGTCAGGCAATATATGCTTTTCAAATATTAACTGAGTGAATCTTTATTATACCGCTTTGGTGGGTAATCTTATTTCAGGACCCTGAGGCAGGGAAGGTATAAGTAATCTGCCCAAAACCAGCCTGAAAGGGATGGCGCCAGGATTCAAACTCAGGCCAGCTATTGGGTTGTCAGAAAAGTCACGACACATTTTTGCAACGAAAAACAGAAAAAATACATCATGACTTTTCCGACAACCCATAGTTGGAGTCCACGTTCTTAATTAACTGAACCACACCCTCCCCGTATAGGATATAGAGATTCCAAAGATCAGAACACAAATGAGGTGCAAAAACAGATTTGGGGACCAAAATGTATACT